AAACTCGGTATCCATGGCGATCCCCCCCAAACGTATGGGGACTGATCGCCCCCCAAATGATCATGGGTAAATGTTCCCCATCTAGTCGTTGAAAAAACCTCTTTGTAAATCAACCTGGGTAACTCAATGACCATGGGTAACTTTGCCCATGTAGCAGTTGACATATCAAAATATCAAATATGTTTGGTGGTTTCCACGGTCATCCCAATGTATCACGGCCCTTTGATCAACCCCTACGCGGCATCCGGGGCATCCGAGGCATCCGCGGTACTCGCGGTCCCAGCTCTGCACCGAGACCTAGCAAGGAAAAACTGGCAACGTGGATGGACGAAAAATCCATTTCGCATCACCCGAAAATGATCCCATTCCCCTGTAAATAGCAACAAACCGCGGTTTCCCCATGGTTTCAAAGTGGTGCGAAATGGATTTGTGTCCATCCACAGTAGGAGAGGAACAACCGGTTTGTGGGCAAAAACAAAACAAAGTGAAACACCAAACTCGTAGGAACTGGTGTGTAGGTAAAACACACCAAAACAACAAATGGGAACAACTGGTTTGTAGGAACCCCAAATTCGCGGTGGGGAAATATGGCTGTGGCTCAAAAAAGTGGTGCCAAAATGGCACCTTGGTACGTGGAACCAAAGACTAAAACCCGCGTAACTCCAGCTCTTTAATTTTGAGCCATACCCATATATGAGGAAGAAACACCTCTTCTGAACTTGGAAGAGCCGTTTTGCGCAACATCAGGCTGCCAAAATCTTGCGTCGGGACAAAAAGCAGCAACAGCGACGTGTCGCCAAGCTGGCGCAGAATTCCCATAGCTTGTTAGCGTGCAGTTGGGCGCACGGTTGTTCTTTCCACCATTGTGCTGAACGAAGGAGCTAACCCATGCATGCTCCGGGCGTGCGTTCCGCATTGGGAAAGTTGCAGCGAGGGCCAAACGACTTGCGGGGCGGCTCCCCTTTTTGTTTTTGGGAATCATCAATTTTGGGGATGGCCTAGCAATCCCAAGTAAAGGGATCTGTTGGCCATGGCACACATGAACTTTGCCTTGCAAAATTCTGACTTGCAAAGCACACGAACGATGCTCAGCCCCAAAAGATGCTCGTGTCTATCGGATGCGACAAGATGTTCCCTCCTCCCCTCCCCAGACCTCTGTGGAGTCTGAACAAATGTTCCTGAAGATTGCATGGAACCGAGGCCTGTATGTTTGTACGTTTCGGCTGTGAGGCATTGCACCATCACCTTTCGGCCCAAATTGAAAGAGTCAACTTTTGGCGGGGCGATGTTACGAACACCTGGAGCCCTGTAGGACCCTCCGGCCTTTTCAGTCTCGCTCTTGGTGTTGGGGACGCCTGACCAGAATCCAGACGAACTCCTCAATAGCACATGGGTTCGTCTCAAAATAGGGGTACCCCAAATTGAGCTTTTCCCTCGAAACCAACAAAAAGGACCCACCAAACAAGTCACACCCACATTTCAGGATGTTTTAACACCTATTGTTGACATCCGATTCATCCTTTCTCCCTGCCGCCTGCTGGCACGTACTGCTTTAGAGGCAGCCACAAGATTTGTCCAAACACCCCTAGTCCATGTGTGGTTTCCAGATTCAAGACATCCCCTTTGCCATTTTTCAATTTGCAACGCTTTTTGCCATGTTTTTGCAATGCTTTTGCCACTACTTCCTATAGTCCCCAGGCTTGTCATCCTGAAAGGTGCTGGCTTGAAAACTTGAAGGTAGTCCCCCAACAAAACAACCCCCGATTAATCCTGGGACTCTCCAGCGCTGAAAGGCAAAGAGAAACTATTTCCTTTACAGACAGAAAATCTAGACAGGAAAGGACCGGAGCGGATCAGATTCATGCCAAAGGGGAAAAGGGCCCTGGTCGACCTTGGCCCTCAATGTGACACTGTCATAGGCGTCCTTTTAGGGGAAAAACATGACCACCAGGAAAACCAGGGCCATCTATTTTTCTACCAAAACAACAAAAAACGACACCTATGGACACAGTTCAGCCCACAAAGTTGTTTTGTCTGCATCATCTTCTGCTCGTACCAGCTTTCGCGAAACATGCCCCGTCAGGGACAGGGGACAGGGCGGGTGTTGCTGCTGCAGTTGCTACCGCAGGGGGCGTAATGTGCAAACTGCAACGACAGTAGGTGCCCAAAAAAGGCGACGCTTAAACAAAAAGGGTTAGTAGCTAATGGCTTAGAAAAAACAAACAAATTCTAGCAGTTCAATACCAATAAAGGTGGCCTTTCCAAAAGATGCGATAACTACCCCGAAAGGAAAGAACGGGCACCCTCAAACACAGAGAGTCAGACAGAGAGAGAGACACAGCACAAACACACACACACACACACACACAGCACGCACACATATATAGATACATGCATACGTATTTATAACAACCCCTGCGCTAATCCTAACTCTAACCTGGTGCCTTTTCGTCGGCAGGGTTGATTCCCCGTTTGCGTGAACCAGCCACCACATACCACCAAACATTCCGAACTCGCAGGGCTTCTTCGGCTTCCCTGCTTGCTCTGGATGTCTCTCTATCCGACCTCCCCTATCCAGTTATGTATATACATATAAGAAATATTGCTGAGATGGGTGTTCTGTGGGAGGGGTGCGTCACTTCTGCCGTTCCAGTTTCTCCTTTGTCAAGCTATTGCCTGCTTACGCCGAATTGCCAAATTGCAAAAAAACTGCCAAGGTGAAAGCAGGCAGAGCAGGTTATGAGAAGGGGAAAAGTAGGAGATACCACAACCGTCTTGCAGGGTTCCCACTGGACGGATTTTTGGACATGCAGCCGGCGAGGCATTTCGGATTCAGGGCAGCCAGGCGGCGAGATATTTGCAAACTCTCTTCACCAGCGGCGAGATTGTGGTCCTTCACTGTTTCCAGCAGCAACTCTGCGCCCAGTCCTGCCCTCGAGAGCCAGAAATCTCTCCAACTTGGGCCTGGTGGCAACCCCAAAGTGGAGAGCTGCTCTGGGAGTTTACGTCCAAATAGCTGGGGTCCTAAAGGGGTCATGCGGCTACAGGCTTAGCGGCAGTTGGCGGCAATTAGCGGCACAGCATTTTCCTCCAAGCACGCCGCTACCTCACGCATCCAAGTCCAAGTCAGCAAACAACTGCGGCGCTCTATCCAAGCGAGCTTTCTTGGGATCAGGCTCTGCTGCTTGCGCAGTCTCATTCTTCTCAGCTGGAACGGGTTCTGACGGGATCTTTTCGATCCTGTCTTTCTGAAAACCTTTGATCTCGCCATGAGCAGGACCTTCCAAAATTTCAACCCGGAGCTTTTTGGAAAGCACCTGGGTGACCTTAGCGCGTTTCTGGTGATATCTATCTTTGGCTTTACCAGAAACTGTTGCGACAATCTCACCGATGACAAACTCAAGGACATCCGCCGAAGCCTTCGGCTCACGTCTGTCGTGGCAACAGAGCTATCGGGTTTTGGCTCACTGACGCCAGCAGGTTCTGGTGGCTTCAGCTCCGGCTTGGCGGCTTTTTCTTCAGGCACGAATTGCTGCAACATAGCGCACACCTGCCCACCCTTGGTCAAGTAGTTCTGGCCGACAGCTCCTGCAGCTTTCTGCAGCACTTGGCGCGGAAGCGACTCCAGATCCGCAAGCTTCGCCTGCTAACATAGAAACAATGGTTGTACACATTACACGACACTCTTACGCATTACAATTATAGTAGTTGGAAAGCTCTGAAAGCTTCTATCTACATTCGATCAATGTAGCACATCTACAATAAAACCACCTCCAAAAGATGGGAACATCACCCAAGGGTTGGGATATAGAGCCACCGCGGCCAGGTCGCCGTGGGATATTGAAGTCAAATGGGCCGGTTCGTTTATATGAGGGTTGTCTTATATTCTTTGCCCGCAAGTGGGTCCTTGGGCCGCACTAGCGCGAACCTTGCGCGAACACAGTTTTAAGCAACTTTCACTTCCCACTGCTCGTCGCTAGGCAAATCCGTAGACTGGGGTTTTAGGACGACTCTCATACTCCCTTTTTCTTTGACGCCTAAAACAAAGGGGAACCATTCAAAACGTGGCAGTTAAAACATCCTGTGCCGCTGAGGTCTCACCATCCTCAACTCCCTGTAGAGACAGGATGCTTTGTTTATCGCTCTCCCTTTTCCAAAACGAGGGATCCATTTCGGGGCCGGTAACAACTCCCTGTAGAAAAAAGCATGTGTTTTCTTTTGTTAATGGAAACCCATCGAAAAGGGTGCTCCATTTTTGGGGCCATTGAAAAATCTTGTCCTGCTGAGCCCCCTGTAGAAACATGCGTTTGTTCCCTTCTCTTTAAACCCCAAAAAAAGGGGAACCCTTTCGTGGCAGTTAAAACATCCTGTCCCGCTGAGGTCTCACCATCCTCAACTCCCTGTAGAGACAGGATGCTTTGTTTATCGCTCTCCCTTTTCCAAAACGAGGGCTCCATTTCGGGGCCGGTAACAACTCCCTGTAGACAAAAAAAAGTGTTTTCTTTTGTTAATGGAAACCCATCAAAAAGGGTGTTCCATTTTTGGGGCCATTGAAAAATCTTGTCCTGCTGAGTCTCACCACCCCCTGTAGAAACATGCGTTTGTTCCCTTTTCTTTGAAGCCCACAAAAAAGGGAACCCTTTCGTGGCAGTTAAAACATCCTGTCCCGCTGAGGTCTCACCATCCTCAACTCCCTGTATACGGACAGGCGTTTTTCCCTTGTCCTTCTAATTGCAACCCATCAAAAAAGGGTTCCATGTTTGGGGCCGTTACAAAAGTCCAGCGCAATGATTTGGAAAACCTCGCTTGCCTGAGGCGTGTAGGTTTGGATGAGGTCCAGCTTCTTCTCCGCGAGCTCCATAAAGATTGCCCACGCCAAGGCCTGCCAGCCCAAAGCGGTTCTTCCCGAACTTCTTTTACGCAGGATACGCCCTCAAAACGATCCTATAGTCTTCAAACGAAGAAGCACAAAAGATGATCAAACCTCGACGAGGGAGGCATCAGCAGGCAGAGCTCCGCCCGAAAAACTCGCCGGCAAACAACAGTTCAACCCTCGAGGCCTCAGCATGACTCCGCGAAGCTTCCTCAAGGCTGTCGATCGCGAGCAACTTGTTCAGCAAAAAGACCAGCTGCTTCAGCACCGGGTGTGACAGGTGAGCGATGGCTCCTTTCCACGGAGCCAGCATAGACACAAGCTCAGCAAACTCCCGGCCAGCTGTCTTCTTCCAGACCTGGCTGCGTACTAAGAGCGGCGCTAGTTGCAAGCGGGGGTCCTTTGGTTGCCAGGCCCGCCATTTGCTGAGCCGTTCCTCTTGGGACATGAGGAACTCCAACTTCACACCTTCCTCACCTAAGCCCAACATCGTCGCAGCAAGCGCCAAGCACTCCTTGATCTCATCCGTGCCGCGGCCGTCCGCAATGAGGGCCTTCACTTCTTCCAATCGCTCGACATCAGCCCCACCGTGGTTGGCCACCGCGGCCTCGAAGCGGAACTCAAAGTGGTGGTCTAAGAAGCTCTGGTACAACTGCGACTTGAAGAAGACGGCTTGCTGCTGCAAGCAATAGAAACATAAGGAAAAATAAGTCCGCCGAGGGAAACAGACAACTGCAAACCAACCAAGCAGCTCAATTGGAAGTCCAGCTGGCACACTTTGCCTGCCAAATGCTCTTTCAAGCGCACCACCGCCATGCCGAACGGGGGCACCAACTTCGGCACTCTGCTCGCCAAAGCCGAAAACACTTCTGCGAAAGCAAGGGCCTCAAAGAATGGCATGGGCTTCGGCGGGTTCAGCATGGTCTTGACCACATACTTAATGAGCAGGGTGCTGTACGGGTCCAAGCGATCCACGAACCTCAGAACGATGCGTCAGGGCACAGCCAGTGGGCCAGCAAACCGTAAGCATTTCGCAATAAGAGCAAGGAATGGATCAAACGCCTTTGCAAACCCTTTGAAATACCTTTAGAGAGCCCAATGCAAAAGCAACATTTACTCGCCCAAAAGGTTAAACGTGTGGCACCCTGACCATCCCACACACGAAGCTGGACCTAGCAGGAGAAAAAAAAGCAAAATGGGCTTGTCATTCAAGGAACTCGTCGGCGGAACCCGGGAATCGTTGCAGCTCCCCCAACATGCTCCTTGTAGCGAGTAAGCCAAAAGGAGACTGTGGAGGCATTGAGCGGGTCCGCAGAAGTCCATCAGCCTTGTTCAAAAGCTGACTTGCAGTGTGCGGCAATCATTTCTGCAGCATCAGCAACACCCTCATCAGATGGCTGCGCTTGAAGCACCCGAGCAGGCACCAGCCCGGCCACATGCGCCGCCGCCGTAGGAGGTGGGGCAGAAGGGCTCGTTGAGCTGCTTGTTGTCGAAGCTTCCTGCGGGGTGGCAGGCTTCGCCTTGAGCGCGCCCACCGCAGGCGCAGAAGAGGCTCCCGCTGCACAATGTCTCTCCACGCCCATGGCGATTTCCACCACGCTCACCCCGAGTCCTAGCTCAGAACGTGGCGCAGAGTCGTCCATGAGAAGGTACTCCTCCAAGTCCAAGGTGGGGGGGAAATCAGCAAGGGTTGCGGGATCGATGACGTAGGACGCAAAGGCTCCAGCAGCAACATTGCTGCGCGGGACGAGTAGGACGTTGCGCTTAAGCAAGGCGCTCTGCCGCAACTTCTGCTGCCAACCAAGGAGCTGCGCAGCGTTCACGCGGCGTCTTTCGCCGCCAGCTCTTCGTAGAGCGACGTATAGCCCTATCGCGTCACCAAACAAAACAAAGAAAAGTCATGATTGAAGCCCAGCGCGCTGCCAGTGTCCAGCTGGCGGTTGGCGGCCGAGCGCTCGGCAAGCGTTATCCTGCTCTGCCCTTGTTATGGGGGCATCGCCACTTATACGGTCCAGCTCCTGCTGCACAACGGCCGACATGGCTCTCAGGCGTAGCTTGAAGGAAGGATCCTCGACAGGAAAGGTCCAGGAATCCAGCATCCAAAGAAGGAAGCATGCCCGATACCAACAGGCAATCGCAAACACCTGCTGCCCAGTTGGAACAACCAATATTCCGCTTCCCTCACTCCCCCAAAACAAAGGACATCCAGAAAACCAAATCGTCGACTGCTTTCTGCAATAACCAAACTCGCAAGAAATCCACTAAATGCCACTAATGACCACTAAACATCCACTAATCGGCACTACTGACCACTAAACACCCACTAAATGCAACTAATGTCCACTAAACATCCACCAATCATCACTAATGACCACTAAACCGCCACTAATAACCACTAAACATCCACTGGCCGCCACTGATGAGCACTAAACACCCACTATTGACCACTAAAGCAGCTCCACACCTCAGGCTACGCAAGGTCGTTTCTCACTGCAGCACTTCTGGCGCCCACAGTCGGATTTTCTGGTCGGCTTCTGGAGAGCCAGTGGTGCCTGGCCAAGGGCTTATAGAGCGTGCAGCCACACGCACGGCTTCGATTTCATCTCTGTACCACCGGCGCCTAGCTAGTCGATGATCCAGCCAAGCGCCTTGCGATGCTCGCCATAAGGCCCAAGAACGTAAACACAGGTACGTCACTTGGGAACGTTGTCTGTCGCCGTCAATAGCAAAAACTGGCATCGTTTTCGATCGCTCAGGCCATGCCCATGCCATCAGGCAAATCTTTGCACCAGCGAGGCAATATTCACATCTTCACATCGTTGCCTTTGCCCAAGCAATAATTCTCCAAAGCAAAGTAACTATTCCGATACTCAGCAACAACACAAGAGCCACTCCTTGGCACGGGCACTTCTGCTTCTTCTTCCAAGTCCTCTGGTTCTTGGAGCTCAGGCTCTTGGCGCAGAAAAGGCTCTGCCACTTCCTCAGCTTCAAGTCTGTCTCCTGTTGAGATTGAAAAGATGAGGCATCAGACTCACACGCAGACCCAGCATCTTCCTGACTTGAGCCTGCATCTGAGGAGTCACCTGCGCTGCCTTCTATTCGCTGCCTCCGCGCCTTGCGAGGACAAAGTTGCACCTCGTCCGCCCCTCTGACAAGAAGCCGCAAAGCAAGGCCATGTTCGATCCCAAGTACTTCAACCTCCAACGAGTAAACAGAAATTGCGCCATCCAGGGGGACAAAGGTCTTCTGGAGCAAGCGGTTAATCTCGTGCCAATTGGACTCCTTGCAGCACCGCGCCCTTAATGTCAACTGCCGATCGCCTTCTGCCACCTCCAATCCCAGCGGATAGCCCTGACCTCTCAGAGAAATGAAAAAGAAAAAGCAGCGCTGTCTGGATTGCTGCACGCAAAACCACCCGCTCTTGCTCTGAGGAAGTTTTCTTTCGCAATCAGTTCGATCCGCCTTGGCAAAAATAGGACCGAGGCGAGGCGCTGGCGGAACAGAATTCTCTGGGGGCACAATCCTCTGGGAATATCTGCGACGTTGCGCAGTGGAGTGCCAGATGAGTTCCCTAAAGTCACGCTCATTGCCCTCCAGCCACAAAAGCCAGTCCGCATTGGTTTGCGGTAAGGCATACCCATGTCCCTGTTGCAAACGCTTTCAAGCTTCCGCCCGAATGGCAGCTGCCTCTGCTTGAAAAGCCTCCGGGCGTACTTGCAACTACGGTCTTGCCTGTTGTGGGTGACAAGAAGTTAGCAGATTGAAGCCTAGTTGGTACAATTAGACAACTGGGTGGGGGGGCTCCCACAATAAAGTGTACCAACTAGGTGTCACAAGAAAGCTAAGTCCACGCCCTACAATTGCTGTCGGATCGGATCGGAAAAAACGCTCAGCCTCTCTGTTGGATTCCAAAAACTGCCGAAATGCGGGGATCTCCAGCATACGCATGCTCCGGACCCATGAACCCACCCGGTCTGGGCAACAAGGATGGGTTCCGCTGGGCTGCCAGCGATCCTGCAGAGACGGTCCGTTTCCGTTTCCAATAAGCTCTTGTAGCAATTTGCTGTCGAATCACCGAATTGCGGGTGACTATGATCCCGTTTCTTGATGCCGCAGAAACTGACACGACGCGGCTCTTCTCCTGCCGCTTGTCCTGCGCATGCTTGCGCTCGACATCGAGCGATGTAGTTGAAACGGCACGAATCAGAGCTTCCACTTCATGTTGCACCGCGTCGCTAAGCAACAAGGTAATGCCATCAGCAATGCTTCCAGCTGCCAATGCGGAGCGTTGCAGGGGAGCGCTGTAGCCCATATCCAATAGGTCCGGAGAAAGCTCTAAAAAAGACTCAGCTTCTAGCACGCAACCGTCAGCGTTGCATTTGCGAGTCAACTTCCGCAAGCAGAATGGCCACTGGCAGTAGTCTTCAAATCGCACAATGATGTGACCCAATGTCGTCAACAAAGCTGGAACCACATCTGTCAAGTCCAGCTGCGGGTCATTGCGAGCAAACTCGAGGATCGTGCAAAATTCTCCGAAACAACTAGTTTGGACTTCTTTCTTCGAACAACTGCAGGTTCTCTTTCGGCACGCTTTTCTGATTCTGCGCCGATAAAGCAACGGCCAGAGAAGTCAACCGAAAACACAGCGCGGCTTTCTTCAGCCGTGGTAACGCCGCAGCGTCTCCGTAAAAGTGAACAAAGCGCTGCCATCGCCTGCTATTGTCCGCAGTCATGTCCCTGCTTGTCTGCAAAGCTTCCTTAGGAATTGCCAGCGTTTTCATCGTCAGAAGCGCCAGGACCTGCCACCCAAAGAACAACACAAATGTGACCTAGACCCGCGTAAGAGCCAGACATCAAGGCCGCTCCACCCACACAACTTCACCCCCCACACACACGCCACAAACTAATCAACCACACAAATTGAAACCAGTCACTCAATTCGGTCAGGCTGCACATGGACCAAACAAGAAAAATCGAGTAGGAACTGGCTTCTCCTGAGTCATCAAGCATAACCTCGATATCTGCGCGAAAAGTTCCCTGACTGCATGCCCAACACGTTGACAGCCGCCAACAGTGAGTCAGGCAGAACATGTGTGCCATACAATTTCTGCAGATCTGGCCGAAGACCTTGCTGACATATTTGCCGGGCACCCCCTGCCTCCAGCCAACTGCGCAGGGAGAAGTGCACTTCTTCAATGTTGGTCGGTAGTAGATATTTGAACCACCTGCACCACCAGATTCGCAGTGTGCGTTGCGCACTTGACACACACCAGGTAATACTCGTAGGGGACTCCGTGGATGACGCCATGGGATACGAAGTGATGGTAAACTCTTCTGGCTGCATTTTGATTCGTGTTTACCCCGTCTCCTAACAGCACATGAATCAAACGATTTCCTCCAAGGCTTCTCCGGCGCCGATGCAATAGAAGAGAAAATGTCTGTGATGATTTGGATAATGCAATAAGCAATTGTACATGCATCTTTGCGCAACAAGCACTGCAGCTCACTGAAAAGGGTAAAATCTTCTCGCCAAATCTGACCTCAACGCAATTGTTTTGAATCTTGCTGTATTTTCCTCGTATAGAATAACTCCCAAGGCCCGGGTTAAAGCTCCTCAGCTTCATGAGTGCTTCGTCGTCAACCTGCTTCACGAAAACAGCAGTTGACATGGTTGTGCCTGGCAAGCATGGGTGCGATCCTGCAGCGTCGGATATGGCTGCACAAGCCAACTTCTTCAACACTTCTGCCATAGCATTCTTTGCCGCCGCAATGGTGGAAGGCGAAATTTCGACCCGTTCTTCTTCCGGAAAGTGCTGGCAAAACATGGACAAAGACTCCAGCGACGCAGATGGGTCAGCAAAGCATACTCTAACAAACCACAAGACCTGCATGCGGCCAGCTGTTTTTTCACCTCTAAAGGT